AACCGGGAATGGTGTGTAGACACAAAAGTATCAAAGTATCTGATCTAATCATAAATGGAAGTGTCTTTTAATTGAAATGTGTATTATGACGTGTTTTATTACCGTTGAACTAGAATTTTTTCGTTTCTGGTAACTGTGTTCCTGTCATCGCGAATTAGCATAATGGAAAAAGTATCAAAATCATAAATCAATGCGAAGTGAAAGCGAAATTACTGAACCAGTTATTGAATATAATAAGAGATGGCGGATAAATGATTTTGATGCTCTGAAAAGATAAACAGTTTGGAGGCAGTTAAAAATAAACTCCTATGTCACATTTTTTTTGTTCCAACATATTTTAAGATCATTATTATGTGGTGTAATGGAAATGAGATGATTTACCGATGCGGAAGAAAATGTGATTACGACGGTAATGGATTATTTTTTTCCAGTAGTACATCCAACTGCCTTTTTTTATACCGTGCCGGAATTTTTACGACCCTTCTAATGCATGCAATAAAAAATAAACCAACAATACTGAGTGCGTTTTTTTCTTGGTACATTGCCCCGGCACAAGAGACACAAAAGACAACTATCAAATACGCTGAAATCGAGGTCATATTTATCGAATAAATATTGTTGCATTTTTTGAATTCATTCTGATTAAGCATGATAATCACAGTTTATTTGCTAAACTTGAGCGATAAACCAATGATAAAATGCATCAAAATTACCGTAATTGACATAGAAGATCCACACACAGAGATAGAGAATTTTGAGATCTAAGAACATAATTTTTTTTATTGCTTTATTTCAAATTCCAAAGAATTCATCTTGTAAATGAGCCCAAAATTTATTGCACTTAAAAACAGATTTCTTTTTTTTTGTCTGAATTATTTATTTTAAGTGGCATCGAATTGCAGTTGTAGTGCACACATTTCGTTTTGTGTGTGCGTGTTTTTTTTCTGCAATGATATGAAAATGAATAGAGGAATTGCCGTAAGGAGCGGGGCGAAGCAACGAACCAGAGCCTCAAATATAAATATCATAAATATTTAATTTATGCGTTTTTTCCGCATTTGTTTACTTGTTGCATACGTTCGCCTTTTTCTTCTTCTCGACATCATCGTTCCAGAGGGTGCATTTTCTCATTCATGTTTGGCTTTTCGCTTTCATTCACAAATACTCTTCCTTTTCGCTCGAATTTTAAACATAGACAATTGGTATGTTCTACAGTTCTCCTTTTGTTCGGCAGAGATATAGATTTTTTTTGTTATTCATTCAGTCATCCGCTCTTGAAAAGTCGATCCATATAGTGTGTGTGCGTGCGAGAGAAGTGCGAATATGGCATTAATTTTATGTTATTGCACTTGAAACCCAAGATGAAAACCGTTGTCGTGTAATCGGAGCAAGAAAGAGAACGAGAAAAAAATGAGAAAAAAGGACCAAACGTCATAAATCGTATGCGATTGAATTGCTATTTATTGTGTGCACATTGAAATGCATTTGTTCACCATACGTGCTCATTCTTCGATCGAGTGCATTTTAATCACTTCATTTGAACCGATTTTTTTTTTGTTTTGTTCAATGCAATCGGTATTCTTTCGTTTCATCTGCTGTTGTTGTTTGTGCGCCGCCACCAATATTCAATAAATTATTCAGGTTTTTTGTTTCGCTTATTTTTGTTGCTTATGAATAATCGAAATGCAGCATATGAAACATCATCGATTGGTCGGTTTGTTGTCACAACCACAGAACTGGGGAAATGTACTTTTTTCTTTATGCGCATTTTTTTGTTGCTGTAATTCAATTTCAAGTAGGGTGAAAGCAAATGAAGCCAATCTTTAACCAATTCATTGATTACATTGTAATTGTTGCGGTTCGTATCACATTTTATCTCTTTGAATAAAAAAAAATGTTGTCAGTTTGGTGAAAGAACATCTCGTATTGTTTGGTGAGAGAACATCGAAATCACGAAAATGTCTTCATTTACGGCGAATCATTTTGTATCCTGCAGCGTCATTAAAAATGCAAAATTCATTTTTTACCGACACTTTTTGCGTAACATAAACATTAAATATTAGTATTTCGAGAAAACTGTATGATATCTCTTTGTAAATTGTTCGTCTTTCGACAAAGTAAACTTTCTTGAGAAAACTTACGAAAAAGACCGAAGCTAATCTGAAATACGAAAAAAGATTCATTTCCGATGGAAACGTGTTCCAAATTCATTCAAATCCCGCGCAGATATTAGAAAATAGATAGAGTGTTCTCTTAGTGATAAGCTAGAAAATAGATAATTTTCTCATGCTCTACACTTCTCTTATAGTTCTATAGTTTTTTTTTTCACCTACTCGATTTTAGCTATGATCGCATTTTTCAAATAGTTCATTGACTTCGGAATTTTGTTTGCCTAAAAAATTGAATTTTATTGGATTTAAAGTTGTGCTCGTGCGTATTTAGCAAAAAAAAATGTATTGTTTATTCAGCTTTACGCAATTACGCTTACTGTTGAAAAAAACTATGCATGTTTTTCATTCCAAATTCTGTATAACCGCAGGTCAAATCGTTTGAACCGTACAACAACGAAAAATGAAAGGTGCTTCCAGCCAATTCAACGTTGTTTATATATCATAAATAATTTTAACACAAACAAACATGCGAGTATGTTTTGAGGTACGCACATGAGACAAAGTCGATGTTTCTGCTCCCATCACTCATTTGTCATGTTATCTATTCAGCGCAATCTTATAACAACTTTGCCTCGTAATCGATTATTTATCAAAAAAACTACAAGAAAAGAAAATGTAACGTCAATATAAAAAAAAGTCACACAATGAGAAGAAAAAAACTGTTTGGCGCGTATGTAAATAAGTGACAGGTCTCATTTCAACCGAACGAATGGACGAAGAGGGAAAAAAACGCTGAGAGAAATAAATTACAAAAAGGAGAAAACAAAATATGGAAACACGAGAATATTAAATTATTCTATGTTGACATGATTGCGTACAACTAATAAAGTCGTCGATAAATTTGCTTACATAAAGGCTCTACATGAATAAAAAAAGAAGAACGAATTAATATTGAGACAAGAGAGGCTGTGACTGAATGGCTGGGCTCAAATCAAAGGCAAACACTTGCTTTGTTGTTATACACAAAGATAATGACTTAATTTGAAACTTTGAAACGATCAGAGAGACATCGGTATTGTGGTAGCCAGTTACGTAGGCCGCTTTTTTTTCTCTTCTCTCATTGTGTTCGTGTGTCAGAATGCTTTTAAAAATCACGAATACACCTTTCGCAGCGGATATTTCGCGTGTACAAAAAGCTTACTGATATTTGCGTACGACGAAAAAAAAATAATAATACAAAAGACAAAGGAAAGAGCGATTAAGGCAAGCAAATATTTGTACGACAAACTACACGATATATAAATCGTCAGCAGAAATGATAAATCGACTTACAAAATACCGCTCGTGTTCGTATCGTGTTAAATGTTAAAATCGTTTTTTTTCTATTCTCGTTTAAAAATAACTGTCCATCAAACAAATTAGAAAATTGCGTGAAAAAATGGCACTTTGATTTAAAAGAAGTTTGATACAAAAATTTATATGTCATTCACACGCCGAAACAAATTATTACCATTTTGTTAATGAAACTTCCACTCGAACATAAACACGCCCGACAAAAAAAAAAGATATAGTTTCGATGAGAGAGTGATAGCTGTGACGATGATAGTGTAATTTTTTCGGCCAATACATTGTTATGTTTTTGACGAGATAAAATTTATCACATGATTCATTCGCGTCCCGTATTATTATCGTCATACAGACACTCCTCGCCGGCAAAAGAAAATCAACAATCGCTTGATTCGTGATAGAATTTGAATTGAAAAATGTGTGAGACCTATTGAATGTGTCGCGTTAATCGTGATGCGTGGTCCCTTACAATCAATTCAATGTTCAGCTATTCGTTCACCTACGCATCATCGTTATTCAAATTGCTCCTACAATTGCAAATAGTCGTTTAAACATTTGTTGTTAGGTCCATTGAAATTATGCGGAAAATTACATGCGGTCGATTTAAAAATGGAAACGATCGAAAATAACGACGGCTCGATAAAATTGTTTCTTCTTTTTGTTCAAAAAAAAGCAACACGAGCCAATAAAAACCAAAATATTGCACAACGAATATGATTAATTGCATCGATGCGATCAAGTGACACCATTTCACAGTTTGCACTCAGCATTCTATTTAAAGTAATTGAAAGTGTGCGTAGTCGCCAATTTTGTCATTGCAACAACAACATCGATTGCGCCAGACAAAAAAAAACAACGCTACAATTGGTTCTTTCGAGAAGAAAGAAATTCGAATCGATTGTAATCGTTGCAGCGAACAATGACCCGTTTCGTCTATTCAAACCATTTATTGGCAACGAAAAACTAAACTTCTCGTGTAAATAGCATAAAATTAAATGCACTCAACTCTAGTGGTCAATGATCTACCGCGCGCCAATTTCATGAAATCAAAAGTATCGTTTACATTGAAAATGGTCTCGAACACGAATCGATAAAATAAAACACGAATCCAGAATCAAATGACAAAAAAAGAATTCAAGAAGAAAAGAGACTATCATTCTAACAATGAGTACACGCACACCAAAACGAAAGGAGTTGGTGTTGTTCGTTGCAGTTGAACATGCTGTTGAAATTCAATAAAAGTGCAACAAAACGAGAAAGTGTCACACAGTCGAAATAAACAACTAACTTCGCATGTTATATGGACCACCAAGAATTTCGCTGGCGCAAAAATGAAAGAAAAAAGCAGAGCACAATTTGTTTTTATTCTTTTCTCGGCGCACTATCGATGCTATAAACTCAATAATCAAATCAAATGGATTCGGTTGTTGTATTTAATGCATGTTTTTCCGCTGTCTGGTCATTGGCTTCTTTCTACCTTAGGGATAATACCCAACAATGTATGTTATTTAATTCGTTGCTTTTTTTTTTGTCTTTTTCCAGCAATTTTGCAGCGGAACACCGTCGATGTGGGACAAATTCGATTGATTGGGATCGCAACTTGTCTGTATCTTTGCATGGATTCATGTGGAAATTTGTACAGTTCGGTATGTATTATTTTTTGTTTGTTATTTTTCTTTTTTGTTATATTTCGAAACAAATGTAGCGAGCAAATTTGGAAGAATCAATCGAAATGAAATGGAGACAGTCAGACAAAATATATGAAGACGGTTGAAATTGTTTTCTCATTGCATCACATTCACGACATCATGAAAACAAAAAAAAAAAGAAATGTTTACTTCAAAGTGGTTTTTTCGGTGAAAACCCTTTCTATTCGGCTTTAGGTAAAACAGATATCCAGTCGCGGTGCATTCATTGAGTGCCTTAATACAGTCGTAAAAACGTATGTGTTGAAATAATCGTCACACAAAATAAAACCAAATGAAAGGAAACTGTCGCTTAAAATGCCATAAATATGTCAACAATTAGAAGCGCTTTTCTTCCATGATCAAAGATTTGTGCATTTTGAGTGTGAAAATGTCGATTTTACAAAATGCATTTCTTGGTTTATTTCCGAAAATGGGGCAATGCGCAACTTATTTTGACACAGCATTTGAATGTATGCATTTGAATTTGATGGAAGTGTGTCGTCAATTATATGCTTGTTTACAAACAAACCTAATTGACTGATTGTTCCGTGTTGTTGCATCGTCATTGAAAAGAAAAAAAACGAATGACTTTTCAAATGTTCGACCTATTTGAAATTTTGTTCCAAATTTATCGAAAAACGATCATTCGCAACACACAGTATAGACGTTTGAATTGAAAGTGCATCGTAAAACCGATATGCAATAAAAATACAATCGTAGTCAATGCAATATGACATGTCACACTACTGATTGTATTCATTTTTCAAATTCAAGTACTAATTAAAACATTTCTCCTTCCAAAGGATTCACAACGCCACCATTAAAACAGAGCTATTATGCTTAAAAACAGTTAATAAACACTGATGGTGCGATCATTTACGAGAGCAAGAGAGAGATGCAAAGAGAATAAACTAAAGAAGAAGGAAGAGAGCGAGTGAGAGAGATAAAGATAGATAGACGATGGAATCGATATGTAATGCGCAAAACAACTCCAAAATGAGATGTAATAAATGTCGCTTTCACCCGAATAACGTTCAAACTGCATCAAAATGTTGTAAGCAATAGCAATTACAACCCTCAATGAAGTATACAAACAAACGCTCACACATATTGAATGTGCGCGTATTGAAACCAAATGCGCCTTTTATTCAGCATCGTACATTGCCGACTCTACCATACGCATATATATATAATATTGAGGCGCTCTGCGTTCAAAGTTTATCTGCTTCGAATCTATTTCGAATTTATCACCCTTTTTATTGTTTCTCATCTACGGTGCATCCTTCTCGTATTTCGTCTCAATTGCTTTCATCGTGCCATAGCGCAGTGATAGCCCGCACCAAATATAACGAACCTCAAAGGTGATGCGAACGAATGTACGCATTTTACTCGAAATGAGAAACATTTCTTTCTTTTTTTCTGATTTTCAAAAGAGATTCAAAAAGAGAAGAAGAAAAAAAACTGTAATTGGTTCCTGAATGCTGTCAATGGTGTCAAATAAATATAACAATTTTATGAGACTCACACTCAATCATGCGACAGTTAGAAAGCCAATCATATCAATTTACACATTTTTTTCGAGAGAGAAAGATGCGATCAGTACTGACAGTGCACACCCAATCGGCACGCAAAGGATGAAGGACCACTGTCTCAATTACATTTTGTCTGTAATCGATTTCATTCTTGTTCTTCTTTCTCTCTCTCTCTTTCTCTAGTTCAATCTATTGTTGTTGGCCTTAACATACAAAAGACGATAGATAAAAACATTGACATCGGGTCATCAATGCGGCAATGTGTCGCATTCATAATCAGCTGCATGTTCAATGTCAATATGTGCGGGCGGGTGGCCAGTCAAATCCAATCGCAATTCGATTTTCGAAAATTCATATGTTTCGCATAAAATTTAATTACCGTCTTAAACATAATTTACAATCGAAAAATCGACAAGAATACAGACCATAAATATTGAATCGGTCTTTGTACGAAATTGCTCTAAATCATGCATAAGATATTTATGACTGGAACTGATTGTCAATGTGTACAAATCTAGAGCAATAAAATGAAGAGAAAGTGTCGAATTTTACAGAGCATTCGGAAATTATGCGAAATAAGCGGCAGTAAAATGTAAAATTTGTATTGAAATTTCCGTCTATGCATGATATCTCGACTTTCTGGGCGGCCGCATCCATATGTGTGAATTAAAATGGAAATCCGGGCGATAATAAACGCTTCGTAATTCAAGGCGAAGCGAACAATTTCAAATGATTTTCGGAATCGAGTCGTCATTTTTGAAGAATTCAAATATTCTAATATGAAGAGTTTTTTTTCTCGAATGGGTCAACATGTTTTACATTTGCTATGAATCATTCAACATCAAAAATCAAATCCATTCAATGAACCCTTTAAAATTCTTTGGAGAATAAAGAAACGAGAACAAAAAGAATGTCAATTATGAAAATGGAAAAGTCGTATGACAACTCAAACATGCACCTAAATCAATAATTTTTATTTATTTTTTAATCGCGCTTCAATGTTCCATCGACAGCGCTCATTTAAGCGATTTTAAAGGCGAACACAAAAATGTGAATGCCCCACAGATTTCTTGCTTTTCATAAATGGCTCACAAAATCTTCATTCACGATGTGATGAAAGAAAATTACCGCTCGTTTATTTACTCTTCACATAATTTTCGCTTATCAATTTCGGTGTGTGTTGTTTTTTTTGTCTCGCTGTTAAATTCGTAAAGTTTATAATATACGTATGTATCCATGAGATCACTTTAATAAAACAAAACACAAAAAATCATCCAGTTGGAGAGCCATAAATTTCATTTCAAATTGACGGCGTCAGTTGCCGTTTGTGATTATGATAAAGTTCTGGACACTTGAAGCGCAACAATTAACAGTCGATCACCTCGTTTCTCTGATCCGTTCTCATACTGAATGTGCTCAATATTAATGGACAGTTTATGTGGTCGTGTGTGTGTATGTGTTACGTCTAACCTAAGTAATATGTACCATTTGTGCGTGTATCTTATCGCAGGCGCCATGTGAGGCACACAACATGTCAAACGCCTGACTTTTATTAATTTGACGAGGCTGAATATTTACGACACTCTGCGCAATCATTGTACAATACACATTCAATTCTTCGAAAAAAATCCAAAGAAGAGAAAAAATGTCAATCGCTTGACTTTATTACCTACAAAAAATAACATGATTCACAATCCTGAATATAATCAATTTATTTGTTGAACATTTACAATTTCGTATTATTCTATTTTTGAATAAAAGTATGCCGTTTTATTACTTCAGCAATTATCACGTTTATGACCGGTAGGTTGACAAAGCGAAATGATCGCAATCACACTGTGTCTGCTCCATTTTCGGTACAATCCATTGATTGTACAGAAAATGCTAAACCGTAGAATGGATCTATTAGCCCGTAAATGGTGCGAGAATATACCAATTTAATATTCATTTGAAATATGTGGGCGAAAATGTAAATCACATCGCGAACATTTTATCGATTCATGTCTTAATTTGGTTTTACAAATTTTGATATTAATCTCCGCAATAAAATGTCAATCTACCATTGGTAGACTACAAGATGGTGTTCGTGTCAGCAAATGGTAATTCAAATAGAAATTCAAGATTGGCAAATTAGCAATTTAATTGAATTGATTTTGAATTCAAACGGTTTGCGAAATTAACACAATGTGAAAATCTCACATATTTTAATTTGACTCTTATAACTTTTTCTTCAGCGATGAATGGCCGGCTCTATGATGAGAACCAAAGTTTAAACCCATCCATCTTGGAGCTAAAACGTTCATATGACCGCATTGAAATTGATTAGATTCTGAGATAAAAAAATCTTGTAACAATAATCCGTCAATCAATATGTTTTTTAATTGCCATATTTCTGTTTTTGCATTTTCGATCAATTTTGCTCTGCGACATTCACAGAGATTGTTTTTAATTAAACATCATAAAGAAAACATATGTATCATCGACACTCATACAGAGATAGAGAGAGAGGGAGAGAGAGAGATCCACACATTTCAATTTATCTCTATATATTTTATATCTATATTTTTTTTCTTGCAGCGTGAATTTACAAACGATTGCATATTTAATGAGCGACTGGAAGAGAATTACAACTACTATACATCGACACATCATTCGAGTGCATTGCGTACATATTATGTGGCCTTGAATCGTCTGGGTGTTCCGCGCAAAACCCATTTGCCATCTAATAAACCTTTGGGTAAATTATCAACATATGTAAAAGCATTTACATTGACCGTGCCAGAGCATCGGTCCGATGCTGTAATTGGTAAACGTTTTGGATTCAATCACGTTAAGCACGGTATTAAGCATTTATGTGAGTCGGGAAAACAGCTTATGGAACTCACTACGAAACAATTAGTCTATCCGGAATGCAATAGTGGTGGCGTCGGCAGCGTCATCAGCAGCAGCAGCAGTGGTAGTAGTAATGGTAGCTTAAGTAAAAAACAACAACCAAATCAGCACATTCGACACGCGAACACAAATCATACACGTCGTCTAGCTCCTGCATCGCTGACCGATCGAGGATCGAACCGGAAAAACATTATCGACGACACCGCTGTCGTCACGAATATTGCAAAAGGTAGCAATTGCAATTCTGAGCAATGCCCCAAGAAAAAGAAAAATAACGGACATCGCGGAAATAACAACAACAATAATAAGAAAAATACGAAAAAGCTGAATATGAAAAATTCAAAGTCGAGATCGAATAAAAAAGTTCAAAGCACAACAATTAGAACAACAACGACCACAACAACAACCACAGAAAGTGCCATGTCAGACAATCCAGCACTCGACAACGATAACTATGAAGATGAATTGGATTATTCGGAGTCCGTTCAATTGCCATCGAATGGCCAAATTTCTGTCGGCATTGCCAGCGATGAAAACTATAGCGATAGCGACAAATAAAACGATTTCATGTGTCTAATGTAATAATTTGTATATAGCATTCAACTCATACACACAATTAATTTCTTTCAAAACAAAACACAAAAAAAAGAATACTTAACCACAAACTGCGTTCATTCAACATTTTCTTTTTTTAAATTATATTCATACTTTTTAGCAATAGTAAGCGTAGCATAAAGAAAATCTCAGGTTATATTCTATACAATTTCATTCGTTTAAGCTTACATTTAGATATGATTAGTGAATTTCAAACTGATTTAATATATAAGACAGTTTTAAAAATTGACACCAATCAACAATTCTTTTCTTCTTCTGTTCTACGAAGCAAACAAAACAATCACAAACAAATAAGCACACGTTTCTACAAATATTATAACACCATACTCGCATGTTAGAATGTAAAAAGTCGTTAAATTATAAACACAATATACTACTTAGCTAGCTTTCATTTAATCTATCTATATATAAAATGCATTTTTCATTCATTTTTTTTACTATCGCGACCAAATTCATGCTAAATTAAATGCAATGCAAAGTTTACTTTAGATTTTGAGTTCATCATAGAAAACGAAATAAACATAGTGTATATGTTCGAAATTTATCCCATCAATTGATAAATTCTCGAATCTCTTTATCCCATTTATTTTATTAATTTTTAATTAAGAGTGACTAGTCTAACTGAGGCGAAAGAAAAGTGTTTTTTTTTTTTTAAATTAAGTTACATTTACAAAGATTAATGTTATACTGTGTATTTTATTTGTGTGAACTAAATTATTTTATCGCTAATTTTATCGCAATATCATCATTTTATTTCTTTCCATTTCGATACATACAAAAAGTACACATGCATAAATGTGTGTAATTGAATTTAAGGCAAATCATTTTGTGTATAAATATTTCGTCGTGAATTTTCTTGCCATTTAGCTCCTTTGGTTTCATTTTTGATAAATAGCATTTTAAGACGCTGACACATGCACCGCAAAGTGAACAATTAAAAACCAATATCGTTGCTCATTTATCATCATTTTATAAGCTCATGAAAAATTAATAATAAATAAAATGACAAAAATTTAATAATCGATCCATGCATTTCAATCTTGTTTCATAAGAATCGAAGAAAATCTTTTAGAGAACACATACTGAATAGAATGAGCGTAAGTATATACATTTTAATTATTCACTATAGAAACGATCGCATACTTGGTGGCTTCGATGAAACATGACTTGCAACGGTCAACGCAAAATAAAAATCGAAGTGAATGACTGAATTAATCAATTCCATGGCATAAAATCATTCAAATATTATCAGATACGCATCTCGGTCTAATGGTCGTTTCAACATCATTAAATATTTGCTACAAAAAAATCGCTGGATTGTCGTTGGTCTTATATGTTAATTCATTGAGCGATAACAAAACAAGATTTTGCAAGAGTAAATCTACGCTAGGCGAATGAGTAAAAAATGTTATTTGCTTAGAATGAGAGAGTGACGCACACAAACAGATAAATTTTCCGTTGTTTTTGATGCGTGTATGTGACACGATGTTTAAATATGCGAAATTGTCGCCAAAAAAAATTTTCGGTGAGATGCTCACGTAGACCAGTGATTTCGCAGTGTGTGTGAAACGAAACTGGATGATAATATTCATCTTGATAAAAATGACATGCCACTTACCCAGAGAAGTTCAATTGATTTCGTGCTCATAAAAGTAATTTCTAATTTTGTTTATTTTCAATTGATTTTAATGAATTCATTCAATTGAAGCGAGAGAGAACAGCGCACGAAAACTAAAGTTTAAAAAAAAATTCTACTTCATTATTATGCATTTCGTATACCATACGATATATTCAGACGCCAGTGTCTGCATTGCAGCGCTTCTGCCCAGCAAATTGATAATTGGTAATGCCGTTTGCTCCAGTTTAAAAGTTTTTCAAATAATTTCTCTGTTCAATTTTAATTTATATGCAAATACAGTGTTGTTGCCACGCTTGGTCTCGCTTTTTTCCTCGTTCATCTTTGCAATCAATTGATTTTGATGAGTTTATGCAATAGCTGCAATGCACATAAATTCCATGGAATTTATGATGTGAATCATTTTTCAAGTGAATCATTGCAGGTCATTTATGGTCTGTGGCATACATTTATCATCAAATTGATTGATTTTTCCTCGAAGCCTGTTCATTTCAATTGATTTTTCTCTGAATTCTTCAAAATAAAATTGAAAATTTGTTCTTTCAATTCATTGCTTTCGAAAAGTACGTTATTTGAAAAACTCACCAAACACAGCTGTTTTCACCATAAGCACTGTGAGTGAAATACAGAAAATCACTCAACGATTTTGCTCTCACTTCTCACGTATACCGAGCAAGAGAGAAGGAGAAAAAGAGAATTCGACTTCGAAATGTCAGCTGTCACTTGATGAACGTGGTATAGTAAAATTAAAAGAAATACGATTGTGTTGAGTGAAAACAGCAATGGCTACTGCCAGAGGTTTGCCCGTTTGCTGGTCTCGTCTGAAAATTGTAAATTTTCGGCAATATCCACGAAATTTCAGCACAAATCAGCACACAAATCGAAAGTTAAATAGTGCACAAAATTATTGGTGGTATTTATTCGGCGGAAGTGTTTGTGCCGGAGCTTATTTGAAATGGCAACAATCGTTCACGGTGTCTGCATTCAATCCGAAAAAGTTAAAAGTAAGTGATTGTGTGTGATTTATTTTTAAATTCATTCAGGGACGAAAGTGTTACTATATTATGCAAATCGCCATGTGAATGCACATTGTGTTTCAATGAATTAATTGCATACGTCAAACGGAAAAATCTATTTCGGATTTTTTTTTCATTCTTATTGGGGCCCAGATTTTTCATTTGCATCAACAAAAAAATTACACTCGTGTGTGGACTCGAGTTAGAAAATTGAGCGAAAATAAATACCTTCATAGTGATTCGTCGTGACATTCCGCATTGACTTTGCCCACTCATGCTACGTGCCATTCAAAATAGAAACATATGATTGTGTGTTACGAGTTTATGTACATGTACGCCTGATGAATGCGTATGAAAACATATGTTCATTGATAAATAATATAAACAGTGGTGAAACCCTTCGTAGTTTTTTCTTCTTATCCAAGTTTTATAAAATCGAAAGTACCAAAATAGCTTCAGTTTGTTTACTGTCAACAATCCAAAGTTCATCGGCTTTAAACAAATGACGATAATATGAGATTATATTCAAATTTTGAGCAAAAAAAATCGATTTTTTAATCTTATTCTGATATGCGCTTATCAATATGATATAGATCAGATTACCCCAATTGCACTTGAATTCTATTGCGTCGAAATATTTGACAGTCTTCGTTTAAATTTCCGCTCACACTGCACCGTTCAAGTTTTCATTCGGAAAAAAATGCGAGGGATTTGAGGACAGGTTTAAAGCATAAATGACACTGTAAGTGAAACATCGTTAAATTCATCATGAGTTTGTTTGATACATTGCAATCTAATTCAATTATCGAAAAGTGTTACATCCAGTCTCGTTAAACCCGATCAGAGTCACACATGTGAAATGGCCAATAAACAAGTCAATTACCGCTTTAAACATATGCAAATCGAATTCAATTTATTTGCACATTTTACATATTCAAATTCAGCGAAATGTTACATAAGTTTTTATTTCGTGTCGAAAAGAATTTATCCGCCGAAGAGAAATCGATCTTTTTTAAATGAAATCTACATTTTGCGAACCTTTGTCGTTTGGTCTTTGCTCGCAATTAATCATTTACATCGATTTTCGTTGGCCACAATGTAAATCGTCTCTTCAATTCTGTTTGCAAAATGTAATTGAATATCATGTTTGCGATTGATTCTTATCGATTTCAATGCCACAAAGATCGACGATTTTAAAGTATTTATGCTTCGGACTTAGTAATCCGATCTTTTGCCACAAAATACTTCGTAATTCATGCAATCTAAGGTGTTGATATTATGCGTTTTTCTTTGAATTTATTTAATCGCAACAATTCCAATGAAATTGAAATGGAAGAGTAAAACTATTGGCGTTGTACAAAGTACATGCCGATTTTTGTATATTACCGAAGAGTCTATCGATTTAAATGAATGGCTTGCAATCGTCGTTCTTCGAATAAACCATATTAAGTACATTGAATTTCAAATTCACTTATGAATTCTATTGAAAAGAGAATGAAATCAACACGGCGAATTCTATTCAAGGCACTAAACATTATTTCGTCGCTATCAAAAGAAGAGAATACCGATTTAATTCATGTACGTCCGAAAAGTCCTTCATTTGAACGAAACGCAACATTAACCCGGCCGATTTTGTCATCGGTTCAAATTCATTACTGTGTGTGTGCGTTATAACTTGTTAAAATTTCTCACGAATCAGTTGCGTCTGTTGGAAAAGTAATTTTGCCGATGATAAATGCGAATGGGTGTTCAACGGTTTCAAAGAAAAAATGAGATTCGAACATGTGGTGCACCAAAAGCGGTTTCTCTTTAGCCACAAAAGCAACACCATCATAATAACGACGGGCAATGCGATGAATGACAAATCGTTGATAATTTTTTTCGATTTGATGCTCTCCCTTTGACACAAAATGATTTGAAAATTTGATGTCATTTTAAATGCCGTTCATTCTCATCGAATCGCAGACAAGAGAAAAAATAAATAAAGACAACGGCAACGGATTCAATTAATTTGTTTATCTGCATGCGTTTTAGACATTTAATTAAGTATGCATCGTCTTGGTAAACGCGTTCACCAAATGCGCGCATTTACGGTTGTCGGCATTTTATTTCATTTTTTTTCTTCATGAATGTGTTTTGGTTTTGTTTAAATTTAAAGTGTGTGCATATTCACAGTAAAAAAAATTCGAATGTCGTTAAGTCCGCTCAATCATAACTGATGACTTAGAAAAATATCAATAATTTTCGAAACAAATTGGAAAACAAAAATTTCAATAAAATTCGAACATTTAACGTTTTTCAATCAATATCTATGTTGAAATGTTTGTTCTTTCATTTTGTTAATCGGCCGATAAAAATGCATATTGCCTCACTCGCTGATAGTAGGTAGGAGTTTATCGGAATTTAATTTTAGTACAAATGGGAAATTAAATTACTCAAATTAATGTCTATGGAAAGCATATTGTAATTTTTTTTTTAAAGAGCTCATTAAAACGGTTTTTAATGTTCGTGCATGGTTTTTTGATAGATAATTGCACACAGTGTGTTCCATCGAAAAGAGAGAAAAAGGTTCTGATTTTTTTTTTTTTTTTTTCAATAAAAGACACTTTGTGCTAGTTTAAAGAAGACTTTGAAGTCAAAATCAATCAAATTCGTCTTTTTTCTCATACTATTCATAACTTGGGTATAAGAGTCGATAGGATCAAAGCAAATACAAAGACCACCTCGGGCATTTTTGATTACGGTATTGTCGCTCATTTTTCCGCCTCTTTCAAACTAGCACAAAGTTATGAATTTCTTGCTGTTTTCAAATGACATCACAATACAAACAACGGAATTCCTTATTGGAGATCAAACATATTCAAATGAATAACGCACAATTATTGCTGACTTTAATCCGATGTGGGCTTAACAAACGTTCGCTTGACATTCGCACGTCGCGCATAATTTCATTTCTATTCATGTTTGTATTGAAATTTGCGCACCAGCGAAATGTCACAAGTTACATTTAAATACGACGAAATTGGAATTAAAATCACCAAATCCAAACGGCACATGGGCTTAATGATGAAGAAAGGCGAAAAAAGAGAAGATATTTTTTTTTCTGCTGCGTTGCAGTTTTTGTTAGCACCTACTTAATCAAACGATGAGTGAATTGATTTCATTTGTGTCGCATGCATTTCACAGTCGGGATTATAATCAAAACCTCGGGGTCCATTTCAAGAGGGGTCTCGCCACAAAATGAATGGCATTGCAAATTGGAATTTTGACTCGGCGGATTTGATATGTGATCAAAAGCGATTTATATACAACATGTCATGTCAACCAATTAAATTATAGTGCACTTGACACTGAATGGCAAACATCACCCAATATTCATTGAAATATAGCTTTTGAAATAACGACTGATGAAAACATTTATTTGGCCAACAACAAAATTCCCATGCACGCCACATTCGTTTTGTCATTCATCACACAGTAATTTGATATGAACTCAACGCAAACATTCTCCGACAGTTTTAATTAATTGCTTTTTGATTGGCTAATTTTATGATTGATTTTAGCACGACCCGCAGTTTTGTAGAAATATGAATACAAAATAAGCCGACACCATTCATTTATACGCGTCAATTCTGCATGAAATATGCTCATCGAAATCATGGTTTACAATCAATAAAAACTGAGCGAAATTCTTTATTGTATGCGCATTTTGTTTGGAAACATCACAATCGATTTCAAAAGTTCATCAAGAAAATGACCGTAAAACGATTATTATTATACATTCGGATCGAGTTTTCTATTCACTTTTCTTTGCTCTGAATTCATTGTAGACTGTAGAAAATCAACGTGTCATTTTTTGCCGTCTTTTTTGCCGAGTCGTTGAAGCGCCTTTTACGCGTCCAAAGAAATTTTATTGTAATGATTGCTTGATCCTTTAATAAATTTCCGAGATAAAATTAAAACGAACGCGTTTCCATAAAGGTTAATTATTATTATGATTTAATATATATACTTTCTGTACAATGGTTACAGCGAGCATGCTTAATATTCGATTACTTGATGCGACCACAGACTTTTTTCTCTCCTTTCGCTTCATTTTAAATTAAAAAGACTTATCTAACATTTTCGATCGAAACATTCATTGTCCTGAAACAAAATACGTGCCACGTTTTGCGTACGATGAAGTGTTGGTTCTCGCACAATAACATGCATTGATCATACCGACTGCTGACTGTGAATGCGACTCATCTTGCATTATATACTTGCTCGAATCGAGACAGAGGCACTCATAACCCAATGAATGTGAAAAATTATGCACCGCAAATCGATTAAATATAGATTTATTGGCGTGAATTAAGACATTTTGAGCGGCCAGCAAATTGCATGGTATGCACCGAAAAAAACGGCCGCAAGAATTTACAAACAAGGTGTGAATTCAGCGATTTTAATCATCGGCTTTTGGTGTGCGAGCCACTTCTCATAACCGATGAAGATAGCATACGCCTCTACACACTCGGGTTCACGGGAAAAAGACAATCCAAAAAAAAAGCGCATGAAAGAGAAGACGATTCTTTGATTGCAGATTATAGAATGGCCCTCTCTCATTTAAGGTGGGTTTTTCAAATCGAACATGAGTACTCAATTACAAGGAATTAACGTCATTTTAAGCACAAAATGTGTAATTGGACTCTCGTTATACAAATACGAACAACAACAACAACAAAAATGTAGTTCAATTGCGCCACAGACCAAATCATCCATAAATCCTGTGATTGATTCTTGGAAATGGGCATTTTGAAGCCGATATTCAGAGCACGATCTCTCAATGTAAAAATGATTCTTTTGAAGTTTTACACAATTTCTGTCGTTTTGAATATTTTGAAAAATTACAACATTTAAACTCCCGCAGGCGACGATTTCGTCTGACTCTTTTAATACACAAAATCGGATTGTCCAATTTGTATGTGCGTTCGTGTGTCGTGGTCATT